AAAAAAAAAAAAAGAGCACTGGCTGCTCTTCCAGAGAACTTGTGTTCAATTCCCAGCACCTGCATGGTGGTGCACAACTGCCTGTAACTCCAATGCCAGGGGCAATGCCCACTTCTGGCCTCTGCAAGCACCGGGTACACACGTGGTGCATGGACATACATGCAGATAAAACATTCATACGCACACAAAAGTATGAAAACATATATATGAATCTGGTCAACTGAATAAACTTCTAACAAGAGTGACATGTCTAATCATGGTGACTGGACTCAAGCTAGCTTTCCCAACTACTTCTTTAGGTTTTACTGCATCAGATGCTTGCCATAGTCCATGAATTGTCCAATAATCCAGAGTGTCTCGGCAGCTGTTAACTTCCTAGAGAAAAAACAGATAAGGAAAGTGGTTGGTTGTTTAAATATTTATCAACTCCATTTTCTTTTAACGTACATCAACCAGACATAGGTACATCATTAGAAGGTAAATACGGTGTTAGAATTGTGTAAGTCCGTTCTAAGCATCACACTCATGAGGAAATTTCAGGGCTGGGCATGCTAGGTCAGTCCTCAGGCAACTGAGCAGACAGAGAATCAGGTGGCTAGTTTTGCCCTTTTTGTACATTCACAGATATGGATATGTGAATTTGCCTATGAACAATCTACTTACCAGAGGCAAATGTGTAAGACAACCTGATTCTCTGAGACTCTCAAGCCTGCTCTGGAACCAGACCCAAACACACCAGGAAAGTAGTAAGTACTGAACACTTGAAGCCAAGTGTAATGGAGTGAAAATAGGAGTGTATCCTTGACTTCAATCATAAAGATAAAATCAGAGATAAAAATCTCAGTAAGATAAAAACCTTTTTAGGGCCCTCCAAGTGGGCTAAGATGAAATTTTTCCACAATAAATGATAATAGAAATAAATATACTTGGGCTATCAGATTGGATGAAACAGAACAGAACTTGGGATACACACGGATACACACACACACACACACACACACAGACACACACACACAGTAATCAGGTAAATGTAACACTTGGGACTCAGTTACTACAGACGGACATCGTGCGCCTCTTCTCCAGACACCTCCCCATCACGCAGACTCTTTCTATGGGCAGTCTAAAGAGTCCAGTTCATTCACGTGACAGGTCACTAGTGAGAGCTGCCTGCTACTGAATGTCTAGAGGCTGGGGCAACAGGCCATATACTAAGCCTCAGCCAGTCCCCCAATTCCACCCTTAAGGAAAGCTCATTTCCTGCAGGTACACAGTGACTGAGGGGCCATACCAGTGCTGAAAGGCCTCTGCAGAGCTCCACGGTCAGGCCTCTACCTGCTTTTAGGACGGTAACTCAGACAAGAGGCAGCTTTTGTCCGCAGTCAGCAAACGCTTAGGTCTCACGGTGCCTCTTGAGTTCATGACAAGTGTGTCTCAGCCTACTTCACGTCTGTCTATCACACTGGGGGAGCGGGGAGACCAGAGGCAGCACCCGCTGCTAGAGACAGCACACTCCGGCCAGAGCCTTCTCATCACGGTGGGCCACGGTTTGAAATACACTGCTCAACAATGACAACTTTCTAGTGACTGATTTCCTTTTTGAATTCCTAAAGCTAAGGCAGGAAGGCACTTCCACCCACATTCGCAGCCCTGCCAGGGAACAGCACACCCATGCGTCCTCAGACAGGCCCGACCAGTCCTGGGCCTCCAGGGCAACTCCTCTAGTGCTGGCCTGGAGCAGAGCTTTCTTTTCACATGGGCCCTGCAACAGGAGCCACGGTGTCTAGCCACCCCTGCTCGGAGAAGAGTCAATGAGGTCCTAGCCACCTAAACACCCTCCTACCCCCCACCCACCCCCCCACCCCCGTCCTACAGCTCCCTTTCACACTTTCCCACTCCAACCCCCACACCAGAGCCAGGGAACCACACTGGTGTGGTAAGAGCACTGCTCTAAGCTTCCAGGTCAAGCGTGTGACTTGGCAAAGACAACTGAAATGTCACCTCATTGTCAACGGGAAATTAAGACGGGGAATGAAGAAGAAAACCCTCGAGTACTATTCCGTGCTCAAGGAGAGACAAGAAGCAAGAATGCTCTCAGCCTAGCAAGAGATGATGAAACTACATCAAAGCCGCTGGATACGTTGTGCATGCTGAAGAATTAAGAGTCCCCAAATTTTAAACTCAAACAGGCTTTCAGAAAAACTATCAACAAGACTGATGCCCAGTCAGCAATATGACAAAACACTCTGGATTTCACACAAAACTCCAGGATCAGCTTTATAAGCCACCCACAAGGATGAGCCAGCCCAAGACCCCCAGCTGGCGGCACTCGGACAGAAGAGCCTCAGTACTGACAGCCTGAAAAGACACAAGACCTCAGTAGCACATAGGGAAGAAATCAGTGCAGGCCTATTGAAAGCAGAACCATGTCCCCCAAAAGATATATAACTCTGTCCAAAACTGCCTATTTGTGAACATAACCTCATTTGGAAATAGGGTCTTTATCGATATAATCAAAGTAAGATTGTGGGAGCTACAATCACTCAGGGTCAGAGAGTCTGAGCTGGCTTTACCCAGCAGGGCGACGTAAGGAGATGCTTTTGCCAAGGGCGTGTTTACCAGGTGTGTGGAAGGGGCTACATGTGGGAGCCCACAGAGGTTTCCTAGTGAGAGCTGCGCTTGCTTTGCCAACAGGGCTGCATGAGAGGATGACTGGACCACGGGCCTGGGTACCAGATGTTCGGAAGGGTCTACACTTGGCTGTATCTAGCAAGGGGGAGGGCTTTTGCCTCACCCCATGGCATTGTTATAAAAAGCCCTTTTGAATAAAGTTCCGGGCAGGTGGATAAGGAGCCAGGCCCTCCCGAGGCTATCCTGTGTTTACTCTCTCCCCTCCATATTTCTATCTAAATCTCTTATCCCTCACTCCTTAAGAGTACCCTGGGGGTAAAAGGTGGGGACAGGTCCCCCACAGCTACACTTGGCTGTATAGTGTGCTTTGATCTTGCAAGGGGGAGGTCTTTTGCCTCTCCCCTTGGCATATTATAAAAAGGCCCTTTTGAATAAAGCTCTGGGCCATTGGGTATTGACCCAGGCCCCTGCGAAGCTTTCTAGTGTCTCCTCGTCGTCTAGATCTATCTTTCTACCTCATGTTTTCTCATTCCTCTCTCCTCCACCTAAGAACCCTCCATAGGTGGGAGCAGGCCAGAGCCGGACTCTCACAGACTCCCACATAAGATGAGGCCCTACTAGGTCAGGCTGGCCCTAATTCGAATTAGTGTTCTCCTGAGAGACGGGGGTGCTGTGTGTAGTAGTTTGAATGAGACTGGCTCCCATAGTCCCCAGCTGGTTGTATCTAGCAGGGAGTGGTCTTTGCCTCACCCTTTGACTCTTTGGGAAGGCTCAGGTAAGGGCTTTACTGAAGGAGGTTTACTGCTAGAGGTGAGCTTTGAAGTTTCGAAAGCCCACGCCATTCCCGGTCTCTCTCTCTCACTCACTCTCACTCAGCTACTGCTTCTGCACAGCGCCCGCCGGCCGCCTGGCCACCATGCTCCCCTCCATGACGGTCATGGACTCCAACCCTCTGAAACTGTAAGTTCAAAAAAAAAACCTCTTGCTTCTACAAGTTCCCTCGGTCATGGCATCTCATCACGGCAACAAGAAAAGTAACTTAACACGCCACGTGAAGAAGGCAGGCATTAGAGCAGGGCATGGGTAAGTCTAGGACACCAAGACCTGTCACCTCTAGTAGGAGCTGGGCAAGAGGAGGGGACACAGGATCCCAAGAAGAACTAGTCCTACTGGCCTCGTTTCCGGCTTCCAGCTCCAGTACTGAGAGGGAGCGCACTTCCAGTGTTCTAAGCCACCACCACCCCCAATCCAACACATGCACGTCACCTGTCAGGAGGTCCAGCCACACTACAGCCACTGCAGATTTAATAATACCCCTGACATACAAGGTGGACACTTGTGCATACAAAGCAACTCACACAGGTTTACTGGATCAAAAGAGCCAGTCCAAACAGTGCTCGCTCACCTTGCAGACTGTTGGGGGCCAGTGCTGGGTCAGAATTAGTTTTTTCCACTCGTGGCTGCCTCTGTGAAAAGACAAACACGTTTTTCAAGGATGTTTTAAAGTGGCAGAAGCTCATCCATCCCATCAACCACTCCTTCAGCACAGAGAGTCTACGGGACTAGACATCCTACCAGGAACACAGTCCCCTACCTCCTGAGGTACATACCACATAGGAAGGCAGAGAACACTCTAAGAACATGTATACTTGTGAGTAAGGGAGACCATACACACAATGGAAGAGGACAGGTGGGCCAGGGGTATAGTCAGGAAGGCCTGCTGATGGAAAGTAACTGAGCAATAAGCTGTCCTTTTCAGGATGCTCAGGTAGTTTATACGAATACAGACTCATAATCCCTTAGCGTCTTTGTGAACTACCGAGGCTCTAAAACTTTACACCACCACCTCCACCACCTCCTCCACCACCACCACCACCACCTCCTCCTCCACCACCACCACCACCTCCTCC